ACGTTCTTTTCAGCTGAAATTTTCAGGACATTTCACTCACAAATAGATCTGTCTATGGGCAAAATCTCAGGTCGAAATACTGTCATTCGATTTATTAGTATATACCATGCCATAGACTAAAATTCCAGTAAAATGCCTATAACTTTGGACAGAAGGTCTAAGGGTATTTAATATTTTGGAGTTTTTCATATCTCATTGGGATTTATCTTTTGTACAAAGTCCGAACTTAAAAGGAACTGAACAGTTGAAGATCTTCCCTCGTCAGACGTAAATCGAATGTCTTTTACATTTATTTTTATAGTACTGATTTTAATTTATATAATTTGCTGTTACAACATCATTAGCATGAACAATGATAAATTATATTTTAATAAAATAGATACGCTTAAAGAGTTTCTTAATACTATTGATGATTATGCAAAAGTTAAGTATAATTTCTTTCGTTACATAAACAATGAAACTGTCATATATACTTTTCAATGCGTATTTTTACTACAACAATCTAATGAAAATAAACAATAATGATCAATTTATGCTTATAAATTAGAAATATTTATAATTAGTATTATTGATCGAAAACAAATTAAATTAGATATAGATTTTCAAATAGTTCAAAAGATTTATAATCGAGTACACATTTATAAAGATATATTGACGAATTGAAAGTAACAGAAGAAAATTTTTGTTTATTGTCAATACAGATTCACTTATAAAGAATATATTTTTATATTTATGTAACATTTAATTGAACAGAATCTATGTTGAAATTTTCAAAAACACATACATTTTCGATTAATAACATAGGGTGTGGGTGTGAGTTTCTCTTAATCAATGCAGAGCAACACCCACACACAGACCCAGACCCACATCCATACGCACACCCACCCCACACCCACACCTATACCCACACCCACACCCACCCATACCCACACCCTTCCGTGGATATTCAAATATGGGTGTAGCTATGGATGTAGAGAGAACCAGAATCCAGCTCCACATCGAGACTAATAAGTTTTATTTCTAAAGATCAGAGTCTTTAATACTATAGAAAAGGTAGCAGTTTGGGCTATAATATGAAGGTTAGGTTTTTTTCGATATTTACTCAGATTTTTATTCCTGTAGTAGATTTCAGATCTTCAATTGATGCTTTGCAATAATTTGTGTAATTTATTTTAAAACGATCGAATTATTGGCACATTTATTCAAAACAGCTAGATCGTGTTTCTTCGAAAATTTTAATAACAAATATGGCCGACCACTGTAGAACTCATCTTTCCATTAAAATTGACTTTCGTGCTTCTCTTTCGCAAAGATATATGTATCAGAACAAATGTTTATAGAGTTATGATGAAAGATATGAATCATTTGAAATCTATGATAATGATAGAAATTCGGGTAAATAACGAAAAAAAACGGTTCATATTGATTTTGACATCGAAAAAACCTAATTTTCGTATTGTTGCCAAAACTGCTACGTTTTCTACAGTGTTGATGAACTTGATCTTAAGAAGTAAGAACTTACTACTCTCTTTTTTCAAACAGAAAAAAAATATTAAATTAAACGTGCTCAGTAGTGGAGTTATACACAATTATGAAGTGATCCTTACTTTTGGGACAACTTTGATGTTGTAAGTAGTATGTGTGATTTGATGTATAGTCCAAATATTTATTGTAAAAATGTAGAAAAGAATATTATGAAATATGTTTATCGTGCCATAAAATAGTTGCAATTTCATATTAATTGAACAGTCTATGCTTTACCGTAAATCTGAAGATACCATTTTCATGGAAATGGACACACTTATTTGTCAACAAGAACATCTTGTGGTGAACTTTTATAGTGTTTATACAATACATGAAAATCGATTTTATGGTTGACAAAATCAATCACGAGTTCTATTACATTATCAGGACGAATCGGTGCATCTAACTGTCTCGGATAACTTTGACTTTTATGATATAAATGATGAGTAGTTCAGCCATAGATACTACACATTCCAGCTATACCTCTAGAATTAAATTTGATATTTTGGATTTTCACTAATAACGCGAAAAAATTCAAGAAATGTATTTTCTAGCCATACTTCGACCTGCAATCTAACACGATGTACACCAGATAAGTAAAGGTTTGAACTACTAAGCAAAAAGTAGTTGTTACGATCATCAATACGTCTAGCAATTTGACTATTGTTTTCAATTCTTATTGAATTGCTCATTCGAACTAACTTTTCTTCTGAGACCGAAACTATAAAATTTCATTTACATTTATGAGATAGTTTTTGACGTAGGGTGTGGGTGTACGCGAAGATAGTATCCACACTGAGACTCATACCCACACCCACCCCACATTTGAACAAAAGTTTTTTCTCTCTTACCATTCTTTTTCTTCTGTGGAATCTTATTTTTCAACAAGTTTATTGTCAATTAGAAGTTCAAAATGCATAATTTGCATAAAGTGTTCATTTCGTACTTCTAATCGATAATAAACTTGTTGCAAAACAAAACAACACAGAGGAACAAAAATTAGAAGAAGGGAAATTCTTGGTCAAGAGTGTATTTCTCATATACAACTAATTTTTTTTCTTTGAGGCGACTTTTTACAGCTTATGTTTATCTTCTTGCATGCTCTGAAATCTTGAGTATTTTTTGATGACGTCAATAGTTAATTCGTAGACATCATTAGTGCAAAATGAAGTGTCTTAAGAAGTAGGCTAAAAAAAAAGAATCAAATCAAGTTGGATGTGGGTGTTGTCGAAGAAGAGAATTGCACCCAGACCCAGACCCACACCTACACCCACACCCACACCCTTATATTCCATGACATTAAAAAATTATCTTTTTTTCTGTTAGAGTATCATTCAAAAAAAACTAATAATAAAAAGAATATACCAGTGGAACATAAACAGTAGCCGCTGTTCTTACTTTCTGTCGTCAAACTGCTTGATTCAGATGTAGTTGTTGTTGAAACAGTTTCTTTTGGAGGAAAAAGACTAGTCAGATTGACAAGGGAGCCAGCGGTAGCATGTGGATTTGGATTAATTTTGAGAATATGACAGGCAATATGATAAATGTCAACATTATTGAGTGAACGAATTTGAACATTTTTATTAAATGAAGGACCACGAGCCATAAATATGGCTTGCATTGATGGAACTGTATTATCCCATCCATGATTACCTTTATAGGGATCAGATTCATTAGTTGTTGCCTAAATACAGATAAAGAACGATGATTGATTGAACTAATTAAAACATTTACTTCGGATAAAATATGACCTTCGATATCCGGTAATGCAGTAAGTTCTCCAAGTCGACTTGCTGGTTTCGAATAATGAAACCGTTCAGGCATTTCATCACGTTTATATACTGTTACATTAGGAATCTTACTAAGATTAGTCCGTACTTGTTCAGTCTATTTTTTATTATAATAGAAACATTTCCAGAATTGTATAAACTTACTAGTCCACTACGTGGCATCACATTGAATAAACCACCAGTAAGAACAGATGTTTCAACCGATGCTGGATTAAGATATTTTTCAAAAAATGGTCTTATCACTTTTGTTACATTAGCCATACCCTTAAAAATTTAAATTAAATATTTCAAACAATAGATTTCTAAAATATGTTTTACATACATGATCAGATACTATAATAATATTTAAATCATCATTAAGATCACTTTTTACTTTAGTCAATAAATATTCTATATCACTATCAAGACGAAACAACTAATTAAAGAAAAATATATGAATAGATTTATTTCTAGAAATTTTCTATTTAAATTCTACTTACTGTATCACGTACTTCAGGTGAATTCGGACCGTATACATGACCTTGTTTATCTGGTTCACTTTAAACAAAACATGAATTTCTAAAATTTACAAAATATTTTTCAACTTACGAATGATATACCATGACGAGTCGAATTGGTAATTCACGAAAATAACTTATGGCATTATCGATCTTCTCGCGGAAAGGTATATTATCACTATACGACCAACTATAGATAAGTGGACGAATACCATAAAATTCATTATGACATGCCGTCCAAAAAAGAACAGCCGATTTGACTTTCTAAAAAAAACCAGAATATTACAATATTTCAATCAATAATTAGTTTTCATAAACTTGTTTAGTTGCTGTAATCCATAACGGTTCTACTTTCGGATCAGACCATTGTCCCTCATCACGACTATCTAAAACAAATCTCAATAGACTATTTTTGATATAATATTAAACCAATAAAATATCAACCCATTCCAATAGTTTTATTCAATAATCGATCAAAGAATGAAATATGTACAATGCCATGTTCTTCTTGATACATTCCTAAATTTTATATTAAAAAAAAATCATTTCAAACAATTATAATTTACATGTTTCTACACCTGTAGCAATAGAAATATGATTAGGAAATGTCAGTGTAGTAAATGTAGGTCGCATTCCATGTGTTGCATGTACGCCTTCATTACGAAATCGATTTATTGTTGGTAATTCATGTTCATTTAAATAATCATGACGAAATCCTTTCAAAACCAAGAATGTTCTATCATAATCAAATCCTTTTACTTAGTATCCTACCATCAAGTGAAATAATGAGTAGACGAGGTATGTCAGATGATTGTTTTGTTGCATTATTGCCTACCAATAATGTAACGTGAAAGACAAAAATTATCAAGAAAATACATCGACAGCGCATCATTGCCAACATAAAAAAATCCGACAACTTTACTCGAATCACGATGACAATTGTAAAAAAAGTACTTCTTTAATACTGTCATTATTATACATTCCTTATCTTTGAAAAAGCATTTATGAAAGTGTGTACAGACAATCACAAAAGAGAATCATAATGTTGTATTGACTTTTCTTATGTAGCTAATAAATTTCATTTGAATTCTTTGTGAATATATCAAAAATATCAACCTTACTTGAGGTTAATGTCAAGTAGATGTGAGATAGTTTTTCATTTTTACAGTAATCAAAAAAGAAAAGAAATAAGATAAACACACAAACGAACAAATCATAATAATTGTTCAAGTTCCTCAGCTGATCGATTTAAATAGAAAGCTACTTCTCGATAAGCATTAATAAGAACTTTTATTGAATTTATTTCATTGATATTTGTTGTTGAAGAATAATTTATTCCTATATATAAAAAAAGGAATTTGATCAATAAAACTAAAAGACATAAAACACTTTCATAAGAACCATGAGATGATACAAGTGTTGTTGAAAGTGGTGGAGGTGGGGCCAGGGCTGCCATTTCTTGTTTTACAAATGGGGTTTATGAAAGTCCA